TAAAAGAGTGCCCTGACTTCCAGAGTGTGAGTTAGCTTTCCTTTTGAACAGTTACCTCTCCTCACTTGGAAGTTCAGCATCAAAAATGCCAAGATTATTTATAGGAAAAGAGATGGGAGGAAGGAAATGTGTGACCCCTGTTCAGAGTTGATGCCATTCAGCTAGAGAGCAGCCCAGGAGAGCAGATCCCCAGCTCACAGTCACAGTCACAGTTTATGCATTTACAGAACAGTAACCGGATAACAAAAATGTTATATGGAGCAGATGTCTTCCAGGATGTCTCTATCACTTAAGGTCTTTAATTTAAATAGATTATTTTTCTCAAAGATGGATGCTAGCTCAACCAGGAGGAAAGCCTTTCCTGCAGGGATTTCACAGTAAGTTTCTATGATCCCTGTTATGCTGGTGATCAGAATGGAGAATTGGTCCCTTCCAGCTTTAAAATGTCTGAATCTCTGTTGTCATTTTCAAGGAGGCCAAGAACTAGCTGCACATTGGAGGTGAATAGAAGGGCTTGAAAATGCTTAGAAGTTTTCGTGTGAGCTAAGTACTTCTCAGCTCGCACAGTGGTGTCAGCGGGACTAGAAACTACTTGAAGAAAGCAGTCTTGAGTCACTGCCTCTTCTTCCTAGAATTTGGAAATGTGGAAAAGAACAAAAATATAAATGGCTCTGTTGAACGGATTAACTGGTGAGGAATGAGATCTGGAAGAGATTAAAGAAACTGGAGATGATTCTGTGGTGAGCTACGTCTAGTATGAAGTGAGTTCTGGATACTAGGATTTACATCCTGAAGAGATTATCAGAGAAAAGAAATGTTCCTCCTCTCTTAAAAAAGAAAAAAATGTTTCTGAGGATGATTCTTCCCTCCACTCGATGTCGGGTGTTGAGACATTTGTTCCGTCATGCAGATGATCATTTATCTTACTATTTTTTTTGGACTACATGGAGCCCTTGCAGGACGAAAACTTGTGTCCCCAAACACTTTTTGAGTGTTCCTTGAGCTGCTTTGCTGGGCTGCAGCGTCTCGGGATGTACCCGTGTGACCATCAGAGACATCAGTGCAACGCAGAGTGTTTGCGGTAGCGCTTCTGAGGGGGTCTTAGGAGGTGTATGAGGAAGCAATGATTTGTTTTCTAAAATGGGAATGAACTTGAAAGTGCAAATCCTATAGTTCAGTTACAGGTAATATGAAAAGAAGTCTTTCATCTTTTGGACACAGACTGACACAGATCTGCCTAATTATGCCCCTCTGGAAATGAGCTTGGCAGTGTCAGCTCCCTGCAGACCTATGTCCTGTCCTGATCGGCCCTTTATTGGCAGCTTCACTCGAGAGACAGCAAATGCAGAAATAACTTCTCACTTAACTCAGAGTAGATCTATTCTCACTTCTTCATGCCTAGGACATAGTAAAAAGTCGGCCTTTCGCAGTGGCCACAAATAGTTCTTGCAGCACAAGAAATGAGCTGAATTCCACGGGCTCCTGGACAGAAGGTCACATCTCGACCCCGTTGAAGTGAACAACAGTCTTTCACATCAGTAGCGTTAGGCTTCAGCCCCAGTGAAATTAGGTTGCATGAGAGACTTGACAGGGCTTCTGTGTGATGGAAATAGAACAACTTGGGTTTATTGCCCTTGTTATATAAAATACAGTATTGATTCCATGCTCGAGAGCTGAGGCTCCACTGAATCTCAGTCCTTAATAATTTATATAAACCACAATGGAAAGGTGAGCTGATATTTTGATTTTTTTGCTTTCTTTTTGTGTGTGTGTGTATTTTTTTTTTGTTTGGATACTTAGAAAAGCCAGTGCTGCCTTAGAACCTTGCTGCCCCTTCTCAGCCTGATCTGTAAGGTGGGCAATGAATTGCTTCCACAAGTTGTCAATTTGACACCTTTCGGAGCTTTAAATTCAAGCAAATTAAACAAGCAAACAGATAAATATCAACTTTTTAAAGCTTAAGATCAAAGTTAAACACTTGTGGGGATTTCTAAGACTCTCTTTTCAAAATACTAAAATGTCATTTTTTGATGAAGCAGACAGAACTGGTCCAATTCCCTGCACCACATCAAAAGGTGCATTTCTGAGCAGTCAGGCATTGTACAGTGCTACAGAACTTAATCACCTTTTGCTTTACACTTGATTAAGTGCATTACTTTTGGATCACAGAGTTCACAAGGTACTGGAACATCAGGAGTGTCCTCTATATAGCCAGCACCTACACAGAAACCTGCGCGCTGACGAAAGGCAGTGGCTGCACAAGAGCTGCCATCCAGTCCCAGAGAGCAGCCCTGTGCAGGCAGCGTGGTGCCCTTCTACATGGCAGTGTCATCAGCATAAAGTAAATCAAAACCTACAGAGCTCTGGGGGGAAAAAACAAAAACTAACGACAAATGCAGTCAGATTAATTGATTTGTTTAATCTTTTTGCACCACACGGGCAAATCATCAGCAAATATAGGTTATCTTAGGTGCCCTGCAGTCCAAGAGTTCCATTGTGTCCCTATACCAGAATTTTCTGGCTGCAGAATAGTCAGTAATTTCTGAAGTTTGGTCAACCATTGTAATACAACAGCATACAATATTTTCTGTTAATTTTAAAATCTTTTAATGTATTCCTTTTTTTCTTTTTTTTTTAATATGACAGTCTTTAAGGGAAGGAAGTCTGATCATTTGCCATAACTGTATTATTTGTAGTTAAGAGATTTCTTACCATGGGAAAGAAAATGTGCAGAAGTGGCATCTATTTGGGGAGCCTCCAGCTTTGGGTGCCCAGCTAGAGATCCCATTTCACTGAACTTTGCTGACCTCAATCTGTTTATCTCTATTTTCTTTTAACTGTAAAATGGACATAATAACCATTTCCCATTTCAATTTTGTGTACTGAAATGACTCACTGAATTTTATAAAATGTTTCAATATATTTATATAGAAGAATTTATTCAAAACATAGGAGGAATCTGAAGAGTCAGGGAAACCAGATGGCACTCAGTAAAACGACTCCTGGGTTTACTGGAGACGTAGCTGGACTGAGAGGATCCAAACCCAGCTTTCAAGGTTTAGTATTGATTATTTCAGAGAAATTTATATGCTGGAGTTTCTCTATGAAAACTCAACTCATTTTCAAAGGGTATGAAAAGCTGTTCAGAATTCTGAATTTCTTAATGGAATGGAGATTCTAATTTTTGACCAGCTGTACCAGGCAAAGCCAATTAAATCTATTTTTGTTCTTTTTCGTCTTATTCTCTTTTATTCTTTTATTGTCTATGCCACTGAAATACTTGAGTACCCTCCAGAAGCACAGTAAGTGACATAACTAGCATTTGTTACATGAGAGTCTATTCTCCTTTTCTTCCCGGTGGGAAGATTATATAAGATGTTTTGTCTTAGCAAGTTTTTTGATTGATTTAAATTTCCCTTCCCTTTTCCACATCTTCTCTGCCATGTGTTTTGATGTTGCAGCTATTAACAATAACTGGTTTCTGAGATGAGAGTTCTCAAGCCTCTGCATGATTTTTCCCCTGCATTATGCTGGCCTGATGGCTCCACTCCCTTTCCTAACTTTTTACACTTTTTTCTCCTTTTATCAAGGTCAAAGTTATTTATATTGCCATGCAACTCTTAACAAAGGGATATTTTTGCCTCAGCCCTGCGGGCACGTCACGGCTCTCTCAGCATCGCGCCTGTGTGATTTGACGGGTGTGGGAAAGCTGCGTCGGAGATGGACGGGTGGCAACTGTGAAATCAGGCACTGGCACTTACAGAAGTTTCCCTTTTAGCTTTATGTCTTCATGGCACAGCTAGGGCTTCCAGCTATTAGGCATGATCACCTTGATCACTGCCTGCTATCAGAATCCGGAGCAAATAAAGGCGAGGTACCTAGGAAGACACTGCAGAGCTGAACAGCTTGAGCAAAGAGGGGATCACGCAGCAGAAACAGAGTGTTCCTCACTGAGCAAACAGACATCCTGTGGTCAGGCTGACCTCTTCTCGTCCCCG